GGCCCCGAGAGGACTTTCAGGACAAAGAGGATGCCAAAGCCGAAACCAAACTCAATGACATCCGGTCCATTCTGATTCCTAGCGACAAAGAAGACTGTAGATTAGAAAGAAGCCTTTCTAAAGGCTGAGGTTGGAACCCTGCCTAAGTAGCAGTTCCAGGTGTAACCACATGAGGGCGCATCGGAGGTGAATCTGCTGACAGCTCAGTCTGGGGTGGGCATTGTCCAGGGGAGGGCCTGGCCCGCCCCCAAGCTGCTATCTCCTTCAGCAGAAACGGGGTCAGTATGGGGTGCCAAGAGGGTGCATACCAGGGTGCAGGGCCCCTGGCAGGCTGGATTCACAAAGCAGTGCCTAAGGCATTTTATCTGGGGGGTCTGCACTCCCAGGGTCTCCCAGGAATCCTGCGATGGGGCAAGCACCCCAGTAATAAGTGCAATGAATCATCTCACCTGTCTGTGAGCGAGGACTTAGAGTTGCTTTCATTTGCTGTCAGTAACGTGACATCTACTGCATCCCAGTGTTGTGAAGCAGCTTCATGCTCACTCCATCCTTCGTGTGGGCAAACTGAATACCACACACGCACAAACACCATTTCCCTGCAACGTGCGTTCTGTGGAGCTCAGGACAGTGGCTGTGGGGCAGCCTCTGGTGCCTGGAAAGGCAAGGAACGTTGCCAAAGGAGGACTGCTTGGTTCTGTCTGGAGTAGAGCACTGCCCAGAATGAGTGTGCAGCTGGCCGGCCCTCGGTGAGGACCTTCAGGGCACAGCTGAGAAATCAGAACATATAAAAATGCCACGGCTGAGTGTGACACCCTCCCCAGTCAGGCCCCAGGACAGCAGATGGCCAAAGGTGCAGATTCTGCACTGGCATGCACCCCTGCTTAGTAAGAAGGGGAATGTCTAATAAGACAGAGAGCACCTGTGTCTCTCTCCTCAGGCTTGGCGTCCTGGCACTGCCAAGTCTACAGAATCCTGTGTTTCCCACACTCCCACTGTCACACTCCATGCCTATGTCCCCAAGAAACCAGCTTGCAGCCCGGAGAGCAGCGAATATGGTGGGGCAGAGAGAAACTTTCGTCACCGAATGTTCTCGTGTGCCAAGGCGTCCGTCCCACCTCACGGACACTCGATGGGGCAGAGCAGAACTGCCCACAGGATTGCTGTAGGGTGTGGGTCTTTATAGGATAGAGCCACCATGCTGGCACAGTGGTGCTTAGCTGCCAGCCGCAAGGCTGAGGATTCAAATCCACCAGCTACTTTGAGGGAGCAAGAGGTGGCATTCTGCATCTTTGAAAATCCCACAGCCTTAAGAGCCCCAGGAAACAGCTCTGCTTTGTCCTGTCAGGCCTGATGGGCTCACATAACCAACCTTTTCCTGCTTAGCTGACCGCTGATCCCCTGCAGCCCAAAAAACAAACCCAACCCACTGCCAGCGAGTTAACGCCGACTCATGGCAGACTCCCCTTCGGGCGTCTGAGAGAGTAATTCCATGGGGGTAGAAAGTCCTGTCTTTCTCCTGAGGAGCAGCTGGTGATTTCAAACTGCCGACCCTGGGGATCGCAGTCCAACACATCACCAGTACAGGGCTCCGTAGGCTGCATAAAGGATGGAAGAAGGCCGCAGGAAGGCCGTACCGACTGATAATGCAGCGTGAGAGGCATCTGTAGCAGACAATGCTCCTTTTCTGTTCATAGGGTTTTCAGAGGGAGATTATTAGTATTTTTGTAAGTAGACCACCAGGTGCCTGTTCATTGTCTGTGAGCTTCAATGGAACCTGTTGGTCATGGGTGGCCCTGCTGTCATTTGAAGAATGGGTAGCACAGCTTCCGGCCCCACAGCAGCATCTAAGGCATGACAGAATGACACACTGACAGACAGGTTGTGGCTGAAACGATCAATGGAGGAACATCCTGGCAAGACGAAGCAAAATCCGGCAAGAGCCACCAAGCCAACAAACACGAAAGAGAAACTGCAGGGAACCGAAGGGCACGGGACCATCGCAGACATGGCAGAGGTGGAAGAGCAGTGCAGGAACAATAGCCCCTTCTGAAGCCATTGTGGCAGAAAGATCGAGCCTAAATCTGACCAAGAGTCTCGGGCAGTGGTTCTCAACTTTCCTAATGCCGCAACCCTCTAATAGTTCCTCGTGTTGTGGTGCCGCCCAACCATAACATTATGTTCATTGCTACCTCATAACTGTAACCTTCTACTGTTATGAATCATCATGTAAATATCTGATATGCAGAATGTATTTTCATGGTTACAAATGGAACATAATTACACATAATTAAAGCAGAGTGAGTCATCACAAAACAAGTATACATTGTGAAATATTTACGTGTTTTCTGATGGTCTTAGGTGACCCCTGTGAAAGGATCATTTGACCCCCAAAGGGGTAGTGACCCACAGGTGAGAACCACTGCTCTAATTCAAAGGACAGAGGTTTTAGCCCACCTGCAACTCCAAGGGAGAAAATCCTAGGGGATCGGCTCCCATAGAAAGTCCAGCTCTATAGGGCAGGTCTATTCTGTCCTACATGGTTACATGAGTCAAAATTGACTGACTGGATCACACTGGATCAAGAACAATCTTGAGTTGTTTCTCCATCATTTGGTTAACCCCTCCATTACCTGTGTAACCAAATGCCTGTGTTAAAATCTCAGTTGGAACAACTAGAGTGGGCTGTGTTCCTGACAGACCCTACTACAGGGTGGGCGGCTCTACTGTTTGACAACTGTTGTCTTTTTTGTTGTAAGTAATACAGTAGCCAATACCCTTAAAATTAAAGCTTTGTATGTAATGATGATGATTTCCTTGGCATAAATTCCTAGAAAATTGCGAGGCAAATTTACAACTACAAACAAAATGTTTTTGATTCATAATGGCTTTTCCCCTGTCACACCAGGAACCAGCGGCCAACAAGTCAATGCCAACTCATGGTGAGCCCGTGTGCATCACAGTAGTGCTGCTATAGGGATGCCAATGGCTGATGTGGGGGAAGCAAATCGCCAGGCCTGTCTCCCAAGGCACCTCTGGGTGGAGCTGAACCCCCATCCTTTGGGTTACTGAGCATGTTAGCTGTCGGCTCCATTAGGGATGTGGCCGTGTTTGTGCACGAGAATGCTCCCAACACCTCAGAGCTTGACACCAGAAAAACAAGGTGTCATCTTAATTTCCTTTCTTTCATCACTAGTGAGACTAAAATTCGCATTGTTTTTGTTCTGTGACCATTGCAATTTATTTCTTCTTTTGTGAGTGATCTATTGTGGTTTCTCAGCTAAGTTAGGGGATTCACACTAGCATTTTCTTTCTGCCAGGCACCTTAAAGCAGGTAGGCTGCCCTTTTAACCACAAAGCAGGGGCCCCATCAATGTCGATTCGTGAGAAATGTATCTCCCCGCTTTGTGTTTTGTCTGTAGGGGATGGCAGAAAAGGATCAAGCTGGACTGGCGTGTTTTAAGGGAGTTGGTGGGAAGGCTTTGTCTTCTGAGTGAATCGTGTATGCACATCACCTAGGGCTGGGATCCGGCCGCAGCCAAGCTACACCAACAGTAGACTGCAGGCAAACCTTGGCTCTTGCCTTGGGCTCAAACTTACGGCTCTGGAAATGCAGCCTTCCGGTTACATCAGGTCTTCCTGGGCTTCTAAGAAGGAAAACATCTGGGGCCCAAACCAAGGCTTGACTGCATGCCCACCAATAGTGTAGTCCACTTCTCTGGGGATCAACTAAATGGAAGGAATTAAATTATATATCAGACCTACTTGACTTCGTTCCAAACTCAGCTGCACATGCTAATAGTTTTCCTTGGATCCTCACCATCAGATGTCACAAATTAAAAGGGGACAGTGCTCCAGATGGCCATGCCTGCCTAAGATCTCAGCCTCAGTCACATACTTAGTGGTGGTGGTGGAGGGTCCCCATGACACCTCCCTTCTGACCTGATGGATTCCGCTGCTCCTTTGGGTATAGTCATTTGCTAGGATGGGTCTAAGAACTCATGGAAAGTACCTAAAATTATTTCTAGAAGAGCAAGGCCACAAATGAAAAAAATCCATGTGGCCCAAAAAGGACTCACTGCCCTCCAGGGGCACTGATGTCTCTCATGCCAAGGGAGTGAGTCATGCCCCCTTCCTGGGGACTGCTGATATTGCTTTCAGGTCTTTCTGACCTGGTCAGCCCCACTCAAGAGGTACTTCCTTAACAGGAACTCTCAGGTCTGGAAGCATATTTAAAGACATTCCAATCACTAAGAATTTCCAAGGTTAGAAGTTATCTTCTCAGAGTGCAAGGCAGTCTGTGTGGTAGTTATATAATCTGCTGTCAATTTGAGACTGAAGAGTAAAGGGGTGGAGTTTAGCCTGTCAATCAGGTCAAAGCTTAATGACATCACTTAGAACCACTAAGGAGATAAATAGCTCACTGGAGGCGGGACACAGACACACTCCCTGCAAGACATTCTGGTTGAGAAGACACATGGAGCTATACTAGAGCCCTGGATCTGAAAGAGCTTTGTGGAGACCCTGTCAGAGCTGAGATGCTTACACCACTGGATCCACAAGACTTCCTACCCACCAGCCTGTGATCTTCCTGCATTTGACATCATTGCATGTCTTTTGTGAATCTGAAGAGGAATTTATAGATTGGTATCAGACATATGAGCTAATATCAAACTTATGGACTTGATCTGGACTGGGATGGGATGTTTTCCCAATCTTCAATTGCTCTTGTATATAAAGCTCTTTCTTATACACATGAGGCTCCCTGGATTTCTTTCTCCAACCTACCTGGACTAATACATCTCAGTCTCAAAACCATTAGGCTGACGTGGATATGCCCAAATATATACCCAGAAGACAACTCTCAAAAATGCTCAGGAGCCTTTACAAATGTGCTTGACATATGGATGGATGTATGAATTGTGCTAAGAGTTGTATGAGCCCCCCAATAAAATGATTTTTTTTTAAGTGGAAAAAAAATGCTCAGGAGTCATATATTTCAAAATCTTTGTATATTTTTTTAAATGTTCAAATTTATTCTTAATAGTTAACTTCACAGAGTTAATTCAACTAGTTACTTATTTTGTACATTGAATGCAACATCTCCACTAGACTGGATGCACAAGGATCGGAAGGATCGGGGATGACCTGTTAGTCAACTCATCCTGATCAAAGATTGAGATTTACCATATTCACGCAAGGCAAAGCAGCAGCAGCAAAGGGCTGTCACCTACTTCTAGGACCACAAGCATTAAAATTGCATTTTCAGCACACATCTTTAAGAAACACACACAAACACATATACACACACACACACACACATCTCTCTAGCTTTTAGAAATGTGTATCTCATCGGTGCCTAGCATTCAAGTTTAAAAGTTAAAACAAAATCCATGTCTACACACATCTCAAGGGGCCCTTTGGCTTCTGTGTTGTAAGAGGCAGCCACATTCCGAGTCAGTTCGTGTAGGAGGGAGATGGCCGAGGGACAGCACAGGAGACCGGAACAAATGAGCAGCCTGCCCCCTTCCCTTCGGACAGCCCAGGAAGAGCTACGTGAGTCTAGTGCTGTACTCCCCACATATCACAGGTCCCCGTTTGAACAATGCTATCATTAGGTCCTTTGCTCAGGACAAGTTTGATACACGTACAAAGACTGAGCACGGCGAGTCATGTGAAGCTTTGACCTTGAATTCCATTGAATAGTGCCATAGAGCCCACGCTCTTTCATTGTGTGGGGTTCTGCTCAATGTAAAGGGGGGTGGGGGAGTGGGGGGGTGGACAGAGTGGGTTTTCAAATTCAGAATTAACTGGGCTCTTGAAAAGTAGGGTTATGGAGATGTTTGTGGCTCTGCCATCTCACCCAGTAGTTTGACATCAATAACCCAAATGAAACCCCAGGGGGCATTCTGACGCACAAGACCCTGTGAGGCAGAGTAGAACGGCTCCGTAGGCTTTCCCAGGCTGTCAATCTTTGCTGGAGCAGACAGCCTCATCTTTCTCCTGTGGTGTGGCTGGTGGGTTTTGAACCACCAACCTCACAGTGTGAGGCCCAGCACTTTGCCCACTGCACCTCGGGGCTCCTTTTGACACCAATACTGCACATAAAAACACTCAAATGGAGCAGCAGACTGATCGATGTCAGTGCAGCCGAGGGAGCAGGTACCCAGTTAACACTCCTTGTCAAACATTTGCAAAACTAACCCCCAAGGGAAATGTGCTGGAAAGGCACAAACATGCTGGCCCTGAGGTTTTGGGGTGGTGGTGGTTGAATTGGTTTGCTATTGAGTAATTAGACACAATTAAAAAGAATATGTCGGTGGTTACATTATCTTGTCAAGACTTGACAAGAGTTTGAAAAGACTACTGATCACCCTAAGACTAAACACAGTCTAAGAACTGGGTCTGCCAGAAATGCCTTCCATTTCCTTTGGTTGATATTGCATGCTATAGGCTTGAGCCAGAGCCGGAAGTGCTGTGGTTCTTCTGCAAAGGGTCATTCTCCACCGCTCCGTCCCTGCCTTCCAAATCCCAGTCCACGGGGCATGAGGGGGCTAGGAACCGGCCTCTTTGCTCGTCAGGAATCCTGAAGAGAGTCCCCGTCTCTTCCCTGCAGACAGATGAGGTATTTCTAGGAACCAGTATGTTCATCTTCCCTCCTCGAGCCACACTGATTTACAGATGAGTTTGATACGGAAGACCCTTGCACGTCTACATACACAGCAATTAACATATAAATACATTGCATACAACCGACCATTACAGACAGTGTTCAGATGAAGGTGCAGATCTACTTCAAAGGCTAAATACATTTCAAACATAAATTAAAACAAAACAGTGTTGTCCAGTTTTCTAAGAATTTTAAGAAAGAAACACACACACAGCAACCAGAAAGTCCCCTCTCCCCCAGAGGTCCACTGCTCATAGAAGCCTGCCTCTCAGAGAGTAGCCCCAACTCTTGGCTTTGGTTCAGCTTTCCCAGACCAGGGCTCTACCCCTTCATTCCAGGAATGCACAAGGGCAAATGCTTGGGGATGGAGTTGAAAAGGGGCTTCCAGGTGGATATCCAGACACCCCTCCACAGGTGGCCCCTGTACCAGGCTCTGTCTGTAGAAAATCTGGCTCCATGGGGACCCCCACCCCTCTACCTCCAGCCTCTGGTGGGAGAAAGGGCATGGGACCCTCTTTGGGCAGGTCACCCCCCCCAGGAAATGTCCAGTTCAGGCTCCAAGGTGAAGCAGGCTTGTCTTTGCATCAGTCTCCGGCATCCCGCAGGATTTTCTAGGTACAGAGGATTGGGTCCGAAGGCTAGAATTTTACAGGCGTTTTCAGAGAACCAGTGGGAATGGTTGTGATGGGTGTGAACAAAAGCCCCATGGTATTTCTCTCAGGAGGGTCCGGGCTTTTGTGCAGGAGGCAAAACCCAGTCTGACGGCGTCCTCTCGGCCCAGGAAAGGTCAAGTGTGTCTGGCACACGGGGGTGGCACCTTATAATTTAAAATGACAAGAGGGGAGGTGGGGAAGCCGCGGGAGCCACTTCCGGCTGCAGGGGCTCTATCGCTGTCCCGCTTCGCGGATGCGACAGGCCACGGCGGTGATGAGCGCCGCCCCCTTCCCACTGCCATCCTCAGACTCCAGGAAGGACACGTCGCACCGCGGCGCCAGGTCCTGCACCGTCTCGTGCATTATTTTCGCAAAGCTGGAAAAGGTGAGGGGGAAACACAGAGGAAGAAAGAAACAAACAAAAAAAAGGCGCTTCAGTCAAAATCGATTTGTGTTCTCTGGGATGAGCCACGACGCGGGGACGCTGGAAAGGTAGGAACCCACGACGGCGACGCGTTGAAGCCTGCTTCCGTGTCACCTCCCAGGCAGCTGGGCCTCCGGGAGGCGTGCCCAAGCCCAGTGTCACTGCTGCCACATCAGGGAACTAGGACTGGGCTCTCAAAATCTGGGATTCTGAAAAATCCAGTCTTAAAAGGAACCAGCTATGGAAGCCTGCAAGCACAACCTGCTCATGATCTTGGAGGGAAGGTCAGGCCAGAGACTCCTAGTTCCCATGGGCTGCCTGCCCGTCGTGCACACACAGCTCCTCCGAAGCCCCACTAACGGGCAGGGGACAGATGGGGGGTTGCAGTTGGCACATCACAATGCCCCCATCTGACAGGGGACCCGAGAAAGCTAGACAGCAGAACCTGCAAAGCTGGGGCCGGTGTGGGACAGACCCTTCTCAAAACACAGGGGACGCTCAAAGATGGGCCACGGAAGTCGAGGGCAGAAGAGTGCTTCGACGGCACCAGGTGAGAGGCAAACAGCTTGGAAGACCCAGGTTTCACTGTCAAAGCAAGGGCATCGCCCGGTGGCGTTCCAGCTCCGCCGGCTTTCACGGTAGTTCTTGTGTGTGCCAACACAACGAAGCTGAGGGCAGAGGCACCTGGTGCCAAGCCCTGCGCCCACTCCTCCTCTGGGAGGATTGGTGTCGCGAGCACAGCTAATCCCGAGCCGACAGAGCTGCTGATGCCCGGGCAATCTCTGTGGAGACTGTTGTCTCGCTCCTTCAATCAGCTCTCCCAGAGAGCTAACACGTCCAGCAGGGAGTCGCGCCCTCCACCCACTCCCAGGCGGGGCCAGAGAATTATTTATTTGATGAACCTTCGGCTGCAAAGGAGTCCAGGTGGGGCGAGGGTGGGGCACTTCATGACTTCACGCGGATTGATTCAAAAGCACATGCAAATGAGAGAGGGAGGGAGGATGGAGATAGTAAGGCTTGGAGAGAGGGGAAAGAGGATTTAATTTAGCACTTCCAAACTCAGGGGTCAGCAAACCTCTGTAAAGGTCCAGGCCGTCACTATCTCCAGCTTGGGGGGCGGTCCTGGCGATTCCATCTCAACTACCCTGCTGTGCTCACATGAAAATAACCCTAGCGGAGTGGGCATAGCTGCTGGCCGATAAGGCGACAGGCAGACTCAGATCGCAGCTGCAGCGGCTGAGTCCTGCTCCCGGTGGTGGGGAAGCTCTCGCTCTCGCTCCAGCAAACATTTCCTGGACGTGCCTAGCAGCCGACATCGAGAAACGAGCCAAATGCCCCTCACTCGGCAGGAGAACAGGAACGGAGACAATTGTGAGGATGGCCAGGGGCTGGGCAGTGTTTTGCTTTGAGTCCGCTTCGAACAGGGCAGGGACGGGGGGGGGGGGGGGGGCACCTAACAACAACTCCTCTCTCTGTAAAGACGGTCAGGTGTGTTCCCCTAGCATTGCCGACTTGCAGCTGGATTATTGCTCAATGGAAATGCTTTTCTTCTCAAAACACGAACAGTGGACCGGAGGAGCTAAAGAGCACTCATTCAGAGGCCCACCAGTCTGCTCTGAAACGGGACAAACCCTGCACCTTCCTGTGGATGCTTCCCCTCCAAACCGAACTGCTAGGAGGAAAGCGGGTCACGGGGAAGAGATGCCGGAGGTCTCTATTTATGGCGAATTCAAAAATAAATGTGACTAAACAGGCTCTGTCTATATCTGTACACAGACACGTGGGAAATAGAAAAGCAAGGGGCTCATTCAACACAGCGGTCCATCCCTGGCAGACGGGAGTGCAGGATCCTAATGCTAGGGCATGCAAACCCATGCGTGCATATGTGTGTGTGTATGCAGCCCCCAACTTAGGAGAGATTTCTGACAAATCTGTTCATATGCCAGCTGGACACAGGAGTCCCACTATCCCAAATTCAATCACGACTATGAAACCTTTCATAAGTTGAAATGGGATAAAGCAAGTAAGATAGCACCCTTAATTTATATGGGGAAACATGTTGAGCATTCCTGGACACCCCCCACCCAACCCCCAACCCCCACCCCAAAACCCCGACCAAATCATGCTAAATGACACAGAAACCCTGAAACCGCATTAGCATGCAGAGCTCACAGAAACAATGGCCCACACTCAGATTCACGCTGCCTCTTTAGCGGCGACCGCAGGGCACTACTGAATGCTAGTTTGGTTTTTCATCCATTTCATAAAAGCGAAACCCTCTTTAGCTTTCTTCCAGTTGGTGAAGGCAGGTACCAACATAGGCTTGTGTCCAAGCAAACGGGTGGGAAGCTCACTTTCCCAAAGTGGGCTGACCCTGGGACCTCTTTATTAAAAGTTTTCATGATGATTGCCTTTTATCACCTGTATCTTCATCAACCCAATCTGTCTTTTGTCTCGGAGAATTGGAAACACTACATCTGAGAGTGCTAAATCGGCAAATTAAGTGCTACCACATAGTGTGTAGTCTGATCTATGGCCAGCAAGACCGTTCCTCTGGTTTGTAATAAGACAAATACAACATAAACTAGGGACCACCTGGGGTGTGTGTGTGTGTGTGTGTGTGTGTGTGTGTGTGTGTGTGTGTAAAATCAACTTGACAGCGATCTGACTCAGGGAAACCCTATAGGGCAGAACTGCCCTGGGGGCTTCCTAGGCCGCAGTCTTTATGGGAGCAGATCACCGGGCCTTTCCTCCTGCAGCGGCTGCTAGGTTCCAACCAACACCCTTCTGGCTTAGCAGATGAGAGCTTAACCTCTGTGCTCAACCACGCTACCTCCAGGACTGCTCACACGCACACATCCCCACACACTATCATGATGTATCTTCTCTGGAGTGCCTGAGGCTCTGTGACACAGAAGAGCAGAGACAGCGAGGAGGGGACCACCCAGGAGAGCCCCCCAAGGCAGCAGGGTGGGGGAGAAGCACTCACTGAGGGTGTAGCTTGTAGAGGGTCCCATCCACGCCCACGGTCACTTTGAGTGTGTCCAGACCACGGTTCTCCCGTATTTTGTCCACCACGGCCGCCATGCCTGCCCCACAGAGTTGGGCCGCCCTCCGCGCCACCACAGCGCACACCTCCTTGACGATGATGCTGTCGTCACAGGTGCTCTCCAGCCCCAGGTGCTGCAGGATGGCCCGGACCTGCAGCAGGGCGAGGCAATCACTGGCAGGAGGGAGGGAGACAACCAGGGTCAGTCAAATGCCATGAGGGGTGCACAGCCCACCGTTCCCCACTGCAAGCACCCAGCTCCTTCTGTAGGACAGGCTCTGTCCTGGTCTCTGGCCATCTGCATGCGGGGGTGGGGGTGGGGAGGGGGGGGGCATAGAGACCACTCTTCCTGGGAGGTTTCCAGGCCCACACCAACCCCAAGAATCAGCTTCCTGCTCATTCTGGTTTACCTATCACAAAACCAAAGGAAACCTGCTCTCTACGAATGCCCCTGCTCTGGGAATCATAAAGAAAGGGACCATGGCTGAACTTGACTGTTGTCAGGCGCCAAGTCTCCCATTGCTGCTCTCAGACAAGCATCTGGTCCACGCCCCCAGGCCAGGTGGCCCTGTTTAAGGAAACAAACCCAGTTATAAGGCGGGCTGTTGTTGAGCCCTGGCTTGAGCTGCTTCCACACAAGTGGACATGCTGACTGGAACACATTCTTTCTACCCACTGAAGCACATGCCCTGGGGCTACGGGTGCCAACCACCTAGGCCCTGGCTTTGGTGTGTCGGAGAGAAACGGCACGGCATGCATTTTTAAAGGGCTCTGAAAGTCCCTGCTCTGATTGACTGGCGAGGGGGCTGGGCTGAATGATGTTCAACTGCCGACCACAGCCAGCAGTGCGCAGGAGCCCCCACGCCAGGCACAAGTGCTTTCGATGCATGATCCTTCTCTGGGCATTTCCGCCACCTCCCAGAGGCAGGCACCTTTCTCCCTCTGACATTGGCCTCCAGCCCAACAATACTACTCTTCACGGCCTCACAACAGCTTGGGAGAAGACATTTTTTTCAAGAAGATGTGACATATTTGCTCTTAAAATGTCTTGCTGGTGGCAGTCCCACCCACAACTCCACATACAAGAGAACAAAATATTACCATCTTCACAAGCACCAGTATGTGTGTCCATTGTTGGAGCTACAGCGCAGTGCTTCCAACCCAGGGGGCGCTTGTCTTTCGGCACTCACTCGGGCACTGTCCTGGTCTGATCCACAGGTCTACTTGCCTCCTAATCTGTCTTACTCTGGAAGTTCTACTGAAACCTGTTCACCATGGTTGATCCTTCTGAGATTGAAATACGGTAGCATGGCTTCCAGCACCATGGCAACATGCAAGCGACCACTGTAGGCACACTGACGGCTCAATTGTCCGTCCCTCAGAAGGTCCTCTAACCACCACAGACAGTGAACATGTTACACAACACGACGTTCATGTCAGCCATGCCGGATCTCACTTCCTTCAGTTTGTCCTTCCATGAGAAGAGAGGAGGACCCACTGCCACCCCATCACAGCCCGTGAGCTCTCACCTCTCAATCTGAGATAGGAACTTGGTTTCAAAGATCCCCCTTGTCTTGAGTCGCTCTGAGATGCGTCCACGGAACAGCAGTCCACGCTTGGTGAAATCGATGAGGATGTTGCGCACAATCTCACCCAGGTACATGCCACTGATCATTTTCTCGAACCTGCGTAATGGGCAGTGGTCACAGTAGGAAAGTGGTGGCATGTGTGGAGACGGGAAAGACCAGCTCACTCCCCCCTCCACACACACATCAGAAAGAAGAGGACAGACGGACAGATTTGCCCATGGTCAAAGAGGAAAGGCTATTCCATTGCTGGGACAGGGCTGTAGGTGTCCACCTTTAGTGTAACTGAACCCGGTGTCTAAGGCTCATTGGTCCCACCTTCTGGATTCCTTTCCTTTCCTGGGCTTATCCCCAGCTCCTCAGGAAAGGACAAACACGCCTGCTATACTTCAGGAAGAAGGTGGGAGGCTGAGTCTTGACCCTTCCCTTGTCATTCATCACACTTTCCCTTTGCCCCAACCATTATCGCTCAAGGAACTTGCTCACCGCTATAGAGTCGGCTCCCTTGATGTGGTACCTCCATGTATGATAGAACAATAAGATACCCCCATCCTGGCCCATCCCCATTGATTGGTGTGAATGGACTACTGTGATCCAGTTCTCATTGGCTCATTGTCAAAAATAGATCACCAGGACTTTCGTCCTAGTTTGTTTTAGTCTGAAAGCTCTGCCCAAACCTGTTCAGCATCATAGCAACACACAATCCTTCAATGTCAGGCCAGTGGTACCACCTCCTACACGGGAGGTGAGAATTCTACCTCTGAACCAACAGTGCCCCCACTCAAGTCATAAGGGATGACAAAGCTGCCCGGGGCTGTCACTCGAACAGAACATGATTGAGCAATGCTTACAGACCTTTGGGCCCTGCGTCAGGGCCTAAGGAAAGTCCAGGCCTCTGGCTTCACTCAGGGCCCTCAAGGCTGCCACTCGCACCTGTCTTACCCAGACCCTCTTCCACCAGGAAGGTTGCCTGCCTGGCCCCTCGAGGCACTTTCGTCTGCGACCTCGGCTCCAGGCATACGTCTTGCCTGGTGTGTTCTCCAAAACCTTGGTTCCTGATCAATCTGGCTGAGAAACACTACATACAACACCTCCCTCCTGGAAAAGTGTGTCGGCTCTTAAGCGCCTGTCTCGGCTGAGATCCCCATGGCTGCACTCTGCATGCTGGAGCTGGCGGCAGATGGCACCAGATGCTGGGTAGCTGGAGGAGGAACAGGGGACTGGCTGTGTCTGTTTGCTGCCTCTCCCTGTTTGCATCACCCCAGCAAATGCTCCTTCACTCTGATGGCAGCAGGTGGCTCGTTTTCCGTTTTTCCACAAGGCTCCAGATGTAGCTTCGAATACCCACACCCTTTGCTCTCCCAGTCCTTCAGTGGGAGCTGCCTCTTGCATTGACCAGCACTCTGTCCCTCAGTGGCATCTAAGACCCAGTGACCATATCTCCATAGCACATTCTCCTTATCTCCATAGCGCATTCTCCTTATCTCCATAGCACATTCTCCTTGCACAATGACAACTTGTTTTCCCAATTGGATGGGCTGATCCAGCCACACAGTACAACCGGAAAAAAGGCTTTAGCGCAGCATTTTCCAAACGTACTTGACAAGAGACCTTGTTCCCTTAGAACAGCGGTCCTCACCCTGTGGGTCATGACCTCTTTGGGAGTCGAACAACCTTTTCACAGGGGTCTCCTAATACATGCTGCAGAGCAGATATTTACATTACAATTCATAACAGCAACAAAATTACAGTTATGAAGTAGCATCGAAAATAATTTGATGGTTGGGGTCACCACAACATGAAGAACTGTATTAAAGGATCGCAGCATTAGGAAGGTGGAAAACCAATGCTTTTGAACCTTCTTCTTCAGGAGGACCCGTGTGGCACGTAGGTTTAAGCACTCAACGACTAGCCACCTTGGAAAGCAGGCCTGGTGATCTCCTTCCAAAAGGTCGTAGCCTTGAATACAGTTCTATTCTGCGCACATGTGGTCAACTCAATGGCACCGAGCAACTCCTTTGTCCAGGAAGACCCGTCTTAACATCTGTCTCAGCATCCTGGGGATCCCTACGAGAGAGCATCCAGTCCCACACCACTGCCCAGCTCTGGGATGCAGGTAACTCCACCGACCTCTGCTTGCCAGCGTTGAGAGAAAGCTCGTCCACAGCCACATCAAATTCGGTGCGGAAGTCGTCTAGGCATCCATTGTCCCCAAAGGCACCCCACTCCATGTTGACACACATCCGCCCTTCCTCTCCTTCCACCAGTTCCACGTTGCGCATCTCCTCCATGTAGCAGGCATTGCTGCCCGTGCCTGCCAATCACAGAGAAGTCAGGCCCACCTTCCTACCCACCCATGGCTGCGTGTCCTATGTAGTAAGACATGTTTATCCCTTACAGGGACTTTAGGTAAACTCTAAAGCCTTGGATTGGGGCTGTGGACTGTGTGCTATTAACCCAGGGGAAGTGGAGTATTGAAAAGATTGAGTTCAACTAGGTGGAAATCAATCAACTAGTCATGCCTACATACTGAAGCTTCGATGAAAACTAGGGGTTGAGCTTCCTGGGTTGGTAATGTCCCATGAAATACTGCTACACACCATCACCAGGAAGATGACATGTCTCTGAGGACACAGAAGCTTCACATTTGAAACCTTCCATCCCCACATTCTGTTCTGCGCGTGTCTTCCTTTGGGTCTGGTTCTGCTTTGTCTCATTTGGCTATAATAAAACTATAAACATATAGTTTATGACCGCTGAGTCTGTGAGTGGTTCTAGCAAATTATCAAACCTGAGGGAGTCCACAAGAACCCCCAAATTTATAGTTAACTGGTCAAAAGTGAACATGACCCTGCGGAGACCCTAACTTGAGCCTGGTGTCTGAAGCCTTGGGCAGGGGTGGCAGGCTAGAGAATGGGGCCCTTGACCGTGAGTTGGGCCAAGTCCAAGCCGTACCATGCAGGAGGCGTGGTCCTTACCAACAATGAGGCCGACTTCACAGTGAGGATCCTCATAGCCACAGGTCATCATCGTTCCAACTGTGTCATTCACCACCGCAACCACATCCAGGTCAAACTCCTGAGAGGGAGAAGCAGACCCCCGGTGCACAAATGAGCCACAGTGTCTTCATCCAAGATACTTCCGAGGGAGATCTATAGGACTCTATGCAGCAAGGTTCACTTTCTCAACTCATTCAAGTCTCTACCCAGTAGTGTCTCCTCTGCACAAGGCCTTCCCTGACTGCACAACTTAAAATAGAGGCCCAACCTCACTATCTAGCCTTCTCATCAAACCTCAGTTTTCTTCACAGTTCCTAATAGCACCTGACACATGATGGTGAACATACTTGCTTCCAGCACATACTTGTCACATGGACCATAGATTTGCTGTGGTCATTACTGAGCCCTTGGTGGCATGACACACAGTGGACACCCAATCATTGGTCAGTGACTAAATTAATTCTGCCATTAACACGTGTGGCTCCCCCCCATTCTGAATGCGCAGACAACTTAAGACAGTGGGGGCACACAGCCTCAGGCCACGTCTCTCCCACCTCTCGCCGGTGAATTGCTTCTTTCAGCAGGTTGACCACATCCTCGCCTTCGCAGCCAGATGCCTTGAAGCCTTTAGTCCATTTGAGGAGGATGCTCTGAAAAAAAAAAGAAAAAACACATAATTAGGGATAAGGGTACCAGGCACAGGTTCCTAAGTTGTTCCCAGAATCCCATTTAGGCTTTTATGTTACCATCTCTATGGGTCAGAGAGATTCCCTGAAGTAGCCAATGATCTTACCCATCTGTGGTAGTTACATAATCTGTTGTCAATTTGAGGCTTAAGAGTGAAGGGGTGGAATTTACCCTGTCAATCAGACCGCAGCTTGCTGACTTCATTTGGAGGTGCCACGGAGATAAATAGCTCGTTGGAGGTCGGACACACGCTCACTCCCTGTGAGACAGTTCTGACAAGAAGCCACATGAAGCTACTCTGATGCAGCCAGGGCCCCGGGAGCTGGAGGAGCCCCATGGAGACCCCTGCCAGCACTGAGATGCTTACAATGCCACTGGATCCACAAGACCCCCAACCCACTGGCCTGTGATCTTCCTGCATTTGGCATCATTGCATGTGTTTCATGAGTCTGAAGAGGACTTTATAGATTGGTATCAGATATATGAGCTAATTTTGGACTTATGGACTTGATCTGGACTGGGCTGGGATATTTTCTCAATCTTCAATTGCTCTTGTATATAAAGCTCTTTCCTATACGCATATGAGTGTCTATGAATTTGTTTCTACAGTCTATCTGGACTAACACACTGCCCAATGAATCTGACCTGTTTTGAAGGTGCTGTTAGTTTGGTCTCTTGAGCACCTTCTCTGTACCGCCAGAGACCGAGGTGTTGTCCACATCACCTGTGTGACATCATCTAATCCTCACAGCAGCCTTATAAAGCACCCATCACTACCATCCCCTCTTCAGTAACAGGGTCTAGAGGAACCAACCCAAGGCCCATAGCTGGGAGGAAGGAAAGAGCATTCACCCAGACGTGACAACTCCACCACACGTCCCAGGCTGTGTGGCTCACCACCTCCTTCATTCACATCTCCACTCAACTGTCACTGCCTCACAGAGGCTTTCCCTGACTGCACTGCTTACCAGGGCCCTTCAAAGCCTCAGCCACACTGTCTATCCTCCTCACCTGACTTCATTCTGCCCCTCTTAAAGGCACCTGACATTTTCGTCCCGTTTGTTGGCTTCCTTCAGCGTGCAAAGCAGCTTTGCCCCCATGCCCCTCCCATATTTCCACCAGAAGGGGCAGTGGGCATCTCATTCCAGATTCCAGTATCTGCTGTGCAGGCCCCCTGCCCATAGAAAGACAGCTGTGCTCCTTCCCCACCCCTCCCTCTAAGTGGCTCAGAGTCCTCCACGGGCCCCTCATCTTTAATGTGGTCCCAGCGGTCTCACAGGGCCCTCCAGAAGCAGATGCACAGTGGCCGTGAACGTGGCAGAGATGTTTGGGGCTGGTGCTTAGTGAAAATAGCTTACTGCAGGCCACAGACAGACAGAATCTCTGCTTGACTCCCCGCGAGACATTCCTGTTGACAAGCCCCACGAAGACCCACTGATGGAACCGGAGCCTTGGAGCTGGAGGAGCCACGTGGAGACCCAGCCAGTGCTGAGATCCTTCCACCACCATTGGATCTACAAGACTTTCCACCCACTGGCCTGTGATCTTCCTGCATTTGGCATTATTGCATGGCTGTGAGTCTAAAAAGAAATTTATGGACTAGTATTGGACATATGGGCTAATATTGGACTCGTAGACTTGCCCTGGACTGGGCCGGGATGTTTCTCAATATACAATTACTCTTTGATATAAAACCCTCTCTTACGCACATATGAGTCTCCCTGGATTTGTTTCTCTAGTCCATCCTGACTAACACAGGGGCTTTGTTCCCTGGTGCCCTCTCTGTTGCCATAGCTCACCAGAATACAAAGGTCAGGTGCTACCAGGTCCCTTTCCTGGGAGGTCAGCACTTACAAACAAACTGGCTGGTTTGTGTGTCCACTTGTGTGGTTTCTCCAGCCCCTTGCTCTGCCTTTCATCCCAGGAGTATGGAAGTACACATAAACCTGCCTGGACATATGTGCCTCGTTGAATCCAGGAGATCTGGAAAACTAAAGTACGAGTTGCACCAAGTCCTAGTTCACACAGCTGCCTCCAGACACATGAGGGCTTCTCTGTCACCTTGTTTTCCCTACGCATTAACTTCACACCTCTGTCAAAATCTTCTGTTTGACACTTGACAGCTTACTGATTGTGAGAGCACACAAGTTCAGGTGATTCTTAGTAAGGAGTGGCCCCAAGAGCTGAGGAAGTTTGCCCAAGGCCACCAGCTAATAAACACAGCTCTGTGGTACCGGGCTGGGCATCCTGCTTATTAGCTCCTGCTGGCTTTCCCATCAGCAGGATGATCTCACCAGCCACAAGGTCCAGGACAACCCTCTCTCCAGCTTGACCTGCTCCTGATTTTTACAATCCTCCACTTCTAACACGGTCCTAACAGGAACATGGCAAACAGAACAAACTCAAGGACAATGACATGGAATCCTACAATTCAGACACAAGCAGTTAACCAGGAGTTATGAATTGAATTGTATACCCCTTCCCAAATAGGTGCTGGGACCCTAACGTCTATGCCTGTGGAATAACCCCATTTGAAAATGGGAGAACCAGGGTGGTACACAGAGAAAGAATGTGAATGTCTGAAGGGATTTTGAAGTTTGCTCCTCAGGACAGAGTGGCTAAGGCTAATGGGAGAAATGATGACATCAAGGAACCGAACAGAACACTTCAAAGGAGAGAGAGTATTACACTGAAATGTGCGAAGCACTTGAGCTAGAAATCCCCCAAAGAAAGAACACACTCAGCGTTGCTCACGCTGAAAGAACTGAAGAAAACAACTCAAGCCTTGAGTTGCAATATTGAAAGATACTGTGGGCACAATACTGAACAACGTAGGAAGCAACAAGAAAAGATGGAAGGAAAACACAGCATCACTGTACCAAAAAGAACTGATTTAAGGTCACACGTTTCAAGAAGCAAGGTCTGATCAAGAACTGCAGGAAGCAATCCGTGTGGCACTGAAGGCATTCGCAAAAGTCAGGGCTCTGGGGATTGCCAGGATAACAAACTGAAGCGGTGCCGGGATCGCTGCCCCTCTAGGGCGCTACTCTATGGCTCGGAAGTTCTTCTAGAGCAGTGGTTCTCAACCTTTCTCACGCCGCGGCCCTTTCATACAGTTCCTCATGTTGTGGAGGCCCTCCAACCATAATTATTTTTGTGGCTACTTCATAACTGTAACGTTGCTAATGTTATGAATTGTAACGTAAATATCTGATATGCAAGATATATTTTCATTGTTGCAAATTGAACAAAATTAAAGCATAGTGTTAATCACAAAAGCAATATGTAATTAGATAGTGTGAAATATTTATTTCGAATGACAAATAAATCAAATTTTGTCTTGAAGCATGGTGTAGCATGGGTAATAGTCTTCACGCCGGGTACGTATGTGGGCATATCTGCATGTGGGCAGACCTACCTAGAGACAGATAGAGGAGCGGAGTGTTTTCCGAGGTCTTAGGCAACTCCTGTGAAAGGGTCAATCGACCCCCAAAGAGGTCGCGACCCATAGGTTGAGAAGAGCTGTTCTAGAATAATAAAGATTATGTTCTTTGTTCAGAGGAGCCCTGTTGATGTCTCGGTTTCAGCAGGGGCTACCAACTGAAAGGTCAGCAGTTCAAAACCACCAGCCACTCCAGGGGAAAAAGATGAGGCGTTCTCCTCCTGCAAAGGATTAGTGTCAAAAGCCCACAGGGACAATTGTACCCAGTGCTATTGGGTCGCTCTGCATCAGAATCAACCCCCAGTGAGGGTTTCTGTTTGACGCTCTTCTTTTTCAGCTGTGTTTGAATCACACGTCCAGAATGTCCCCAGGTCATTGACATTTCTTCCCCTCAAACTAGTAATTGATACAAGGCATAAACAGCTCATTATGTACTGAATAATTATTGTTCCTGATTTCTTGGGTAGGAGAAACATTTCATTAAATGTTACATGAATTATTTATCCATGTTTGACAATTCCCTTTGCCAAGCTGATGCAACTGTGAAGGTTTGGAAAGCCTTTTTTTAAAAAAGGTTTTTGTCGACACTGGGGTGGGGGAATACATTCAGACAACAGAAAACTTCCCAAAACCTTAAAAGCAAAAAGGTTAACGAAGCCTGTAGGTCCCAACACGGGCAGTGGGACCTTCGGCTTACATAGGCCCTTGAAAGGTGTGTGGCTTCAAGATCAAGCATGAAGCAGGGAGCCCAGCTGAGCATGGGCGGTCAGGAGAGTAAGAGGGAGGCAACAGGAAGGAGCAGCCGCAGGACAAGCACAGAGGTCCTGGGTAAGGAACCTGCTGCGGCCTTTGATCCTCAAGTCCCCCAGAAACCATCCTTCCTCCCCTGCACCCTTCCACGGGCACACTCTCCTACCTGCACACAAGCAGAGGGCAGCCCAGTGGCCTGGCTGAAGGGAGATGGCGCCAGACCCTACGCAGATGGCAATCAATCAGTGCTAGGCATTTCCCCATAAGACCCCAGGGGACGTGAAGACCCTGGGCAAAGTGAGTCCACAAGAAAGACGAAAACAAGAGACAGCTGCCCCCTGTGGGTGAGTCAGAGCTTGAGAAGACGCCCTCTGCGTGTGTTTACGATGCCTTAGTGCGGGCAGCAGGGGGTGGGGTGGGGCTACCATCCTCAGGGAGCCCTTCCCTGATGGGCTCTTCCCAAAGTGTGCCCCAACACAGGCCATTGAGCTCCAGGAAGTGCCGGCTTCCACGTGAGGGCTTCATGGCAGAACTTTCCAAAACGTTAATTCTGCTCCTGTACCTGATGCACTCACCTCCCCGAAAGAGTGGGGAAGCGGAGGAGGCGCTGAAAACTCAAGTAGGGCAGGGTGAGCCCTGCAGGAAACACTGGCCACTGGGATGATACTTCCATTCTGGACAAGCTAATGCCACCTGTGGACGGGCTCCCACCTACACCTCCCTCCCCACACCCCGCACGGGCCCAGCCTCCCTCCCTTTCTCCCCCTTCAACTCATTCTGCTAACTGGCTCCACAGCATGTCCTCCGATACACCTCACACTGCATGTCTCCAGTGGCTAAAGTGCTCGGTGAGAGCCAAAAGGTCAGCAGTGTGAACCCACCAACTGCTCCCCAGGAGGAAATGGGGCAGATGGCTTCCGTAAAGATTTAGAGTATTGGAAACACTCTGGGGCAGTTCTGCTCTGTCCTATAGGTCCACTATGAGCCAGAAGCAATTGACAGGCAGCGTGTTGGTTGGGTTGGGTTGGGCTCTGGGTCTCCTCAGGGTGTCGGCATCCCATTGGCGCCAACAGCAATTCTTACTGAGGCTGTCTGACTGGCCCAGTTGGCTAGCATCTTGAAGCAGAAGGTGTGCCTTTTGTACCCTGGCTACCGTGTCTCCAGGGCACTGCACACAGTTAGCAAGCACACAGACTCCTAGCCAAGGGGGAGAGATGCAGAGGGAAAAGTGCACACAGAAGACGACGTGGGTGTCAAACGCTATCAAACGCGCCAGCTGTGAACCCAGTGTCAAGCCCTAGCATTACCCGGTCAGCTCTCACTCCACTCAGCTACCGAACGGCTAGAGCTAGTCTGGGACTTCCAGTCACCCACTTCTTCCACCCACCAAAAGTGCAAAGGGAATGAACACACATGAGAGAAGAGCTGGAGCAACCAATCACCAACAGGAGATGGAAGAAAGGCACCGAGAACCCACCCACACCCCCACCTGGGGGCTCAGGAGCAAGATAACATAACAGAGCACCGGCTTGGGTGTTCGAAAACCTGAATTCAAACCCCCAGCTATGTTATCTGGAGCAAGGTACCAGGCAACCCAGGAAGCGGATTTCCTGATCGGAAAAAGGGGCCTGCCAAGAAATGCGAGAAGGCACACAGGAAGCCCAGAACCATGCCTGGCACCTTGAAAGGCCTGAGATGATGCTAGTCACAGCTGTTTTGATTAGTATCATCATCTTCCCTGGCCAAACTCACCTACTCCACCCCAACCGGCCCCGGACATCCTCCTCCTTCCCATCAATGGGCCTC